CTTCCTCAGACAAACAAACAACATTTGTGTCCACTGCCCACCAGATATACATAAAACAACATTCTCAGTCATAAAACATCAAAATTACTAAGAGAAAGTTAAAACTTTTCTATAATTTCTGGCTCATTTTGGTTTTGATTCCTTAATTCCACTTTTTCTTGCTTTTTTTTCAATTTTTGGCAAAAATAACATATGGCTTTGAAGTATACTATAAGCCAGTGTATGATTTTTATCTCCAAGCTACATCTTGAAGAAAAGAAAAAAAAATACGCAAGCTTTCAAAATTAGTGTCAAAATACAACAATAATATTTTGTTAACTAATTAAACCAAACCCAAACTAAATTTAAAACATCATAATGTTTATTTTTGTAGTCTGAATTCAATAGAAGCCCTTACACTATTTTGACTTCTAAGTCCTTATCAGTTAGATTTTAAGCACACAATGTCTAAAATTACATTTCCTGCCATTCATTGTGTTGCATGTGTATTTCATAATCTTGTTCAGCTGCAATCCATCCAAACACCCTTATCCCACCCTAAGTCACCTAACACAGTCCAAAATCACTCAATCAAAACAATTAAGTTTTATCTTAATTTACAGCCTGGATTCCATATTAATGACAGAAAAGTCCCATTTTTCAAGATATCTCAAATATATCTTTGAGTTTTTTCCATAAATAAAATGGGCTTTAGTTTAAAGTTTATTTATAATGCCCCTGGAATTTGCAGAGTTACTAAAAGTATATACTGAAGCAAATAAAAATTACTTTGGACCCCTCCCTCCCCGTTTAGAAAACGTGGACCCCACCGCTACCACTTATAAATAGATTCTTTTCACGTTTGGGAATGGATTTTACAGTTTTTTTTTTTTTTTTCTTTTTTCCTTGTCAAGAAATTTCTGGGTTGGAAAGTTTTTGACTGGGGTGGACCCCCAGGAAAAAATTCCTGGATCTGTGCCTGTGTGTTCTTATTTCTTTACTGACACCAAAATCCTACCAAAAAAAAAATCATCCAATGAACATCTCAAGCAAACTACTTGTACGATTAAAGGAAAAAAAATCCTCCGTCATTTATTAGCCAGTTGGACTCTCCTGGGGAAGTGAGTTGGTATCGGGGTTCACATGCCAGTAATTTCTTTCCCCGGCATTAGGCTCTACTCCATGATAATACTTTCCATATCTCAAGATCTCCAGATCGATGGTGGAGGTCCTGATAATCAGCTGAAGAGTCAGCAGGCAACTCACACACGGCCATTTATTCCATTTTTGATCAAAGTCCTGGATTGACTTTAGAGCAAAGGGAATAATGATCCAAATTAGAGCAAAGGGAATAATGATCCAAATTTTCTAGTCCCTGACCAATAAAACTAACTGGATATTGTAAATAATGAATAATTCAATGTCTCCCTGCTGATTACATTTCTACACTTCCTAAAGTCAGAGGAAGTGAAGGGTCCAATATTAATCAAAATCTCCCCAATCTCTTAAAAAGAAAGATAAAAATAGAGAAAATCAGTGGGACCTAATCTCCCTCCCTACAAATTACACTTTGTCAGTCCCAGCTGGGTATCTTTCTTTTGGCCTTTTGTTAAAAAATGCCTGATCTGTGTTGGAAAACAGTTTATGTTCAAAGAAAAGTCCTTAGTACAATAATTTTCCCTAAATTCAAATAAAATAATAATTAACAATCAATATAATAAAAGTACTCAATAGCCTGATGACTATCAATTTTATCTCCAACAACCACCCCACCCCCCCAACCCTGTCTTTAGATTTCCCACTCCCCCAATGTCAAGTTTCCATGTCTCTGTCCACCCATCCCCAATATACATATATTATAAAAACAATTATCCCAACATAGTGGGACAAACTTGATCTATTTACCCAATATCTGCCATATAAGAGTGACATAGTGTTTTCTCTTCTTTGTTGTACCTGAGTCGTCAGGTACAGTACAGGTGTTAATTTACCTCAAACGACACGAAGATTCAATAACTTCTGAACAATGATGGCACAGCTTTTCAAATATTTATCACCACAGTGTGGCCTTTATCCATTTTATAAAAATAAGGTCAAAAAAAGGTGTATTATAGAGGATAGTATATCCCTACTGAGAAGATTAAAGCCGTGTACAGACACACGGGTAGTGTTACGTACTGTATAAAGTCGTTAATGTGTAACAGTGATATTAATTATCTAATGATTCTTATACATCAAGTAATGTGTTATTTATTACAGATATCGTGATGGGGACACATTGTCTGTGTCACCTCTACGTTTGATCCTATGTATCAGTAGCAGAAGTCAGCAATAAACTGAAGATGACTAATCACAAAGAACTCTTAGGAATAAAACAGAAATATAACACAACAAAACTTAATAGTACATAAAGATCTGCTTTCACTTAACTTTTGACTTTGATTCAAGATCAATGAACATCCAATACCCAAGAATACTTTATGGGTGAAGTACGTTAAAGAAAATTAATCCAAGGGAGTGAATACGATATTGGGACAAGTGATATCAGACTGTCAGATAAAAGTGATATTACACAGGTAAAACTCAGTAAAAGATATACAAGTGATATCAATCTGACAGGTACACAGCTTCAGATCACTACAAGGGGTCCACAAAACAAGGACAGGATAAAGTTAGTAAAAAATTATCTTATTGATGTTTAATAAGATATCAAAATTATACTGACTAAAAATGATCCTAATTACTTTCATTCATTTACATCTACTTTTTAATAACTTTCTTTATAATGATTATGTAAGTCATAGATTCACACATTCAGTCTTTGTCTTAACAAAGTTTTACGGAGGCATTGACTCAGTCTTCTCCTACCATACTACATCCCCCCAATCAATTTTATAAAACTCCCCCACTCCCCTCCCCCCCCCCCACCACACACACACACATCAATTTAAGAAATCTATGAAAGTTACACAGATGGTATATTATCAGTTGTGACCATTACTTTTCCAACCCCAGTACTAGCTCAGTGTTCAGTTAGGACTGTAAGATTTCCACCCCCAGTACTAGCTCAGTGTTCAGTTAGGACTGTTAGATTTCCACCCCCAGTACTAAGCTCAGTGTTCAGTTGGGACTGTTAGATTTCCAACCCCAGTACTAAGCTCAGTGTTCAGTTAGGACTGTTAGATTTCCACCCCCAGTACTAAGCTCAGTGTTCAGTTGGGACTGTTAGATTTCCAACCCCAGTACTAAGCTCAGTGTTCAGTTAGGACTGTTAGATTTCCAACCCCAGTACTAAGCTCAGTGTTCAGTTAGGACTGTAAGATTTCCAACCCCAGTACTAGCTCAGTGTCCAGTTGGGACTGTTAGATACTAGCTCAGTGTCCAGTTGGGACTGTTAGATACTAGCTCAGTGTTCAGTTGGGACTGTTAGATTTCCACCAGGTACTAGTTGTGCCTATTTTAACCAGCCTCTTTATTTTCCAGTTTGACACTTTACATTATGTGCTTTCAAACCCATAAAATGGTGCTTTACTTAATTAAGATCACATTTATTCATTCACGCAAAAGAAGTTCTAATTTCTATTATCCCAGTATCTTCATGTAATTTGTGTTATTCATAATTTCATCAAGTTTATTATTAATAGAGGATCTCTCTCCATCACCAAACACAACCATGGGAGGGGTGGGGTAAAATTTAATCTGGGCTTCCCTTCCTTTACTCCAGCATGCTAGAGGTTTATGGTGAGATACTTTTGTCTGGACTCCGAGGTATAAGGGTAGGGGGACCTTAACAATGGCTCTTGTAGGAATACCCCTCTTCTTGATCTCGCAGTAAAGCAAGGCTTTCAGTTAAACAACTCTCTACACCCCCCTTCTTCCCAGTCTCCCAGCTGTAACATGCCTTTAATTCCCTGTTATCCCCTGATCCTCTGACCAGCTGGGTATAAATAAATTAAACAGGACCCCTCCCCTACTGATAATTAATAAAGTGTAAACTCATGATAAAGTCTTCTTTCTCCCTTTTCTCAACCTTAACCCTTACCAACCCAGAAATTGAAAAAAAATTCTAATCTTACATTCACAACTAGGAATTAATTTCGAGAACACCCACTGTTCCTATACACAATCAGGAGGGTCCTGACTTCATACAGAATGCCCCTCCCCCCTGACCTCCCAATGGTAACAGTTTGTTATCACAACCACCATCAAATGCCCTGTAATCCCCCTAATCCTGTGCCCAGCTGGGTCTGAATGAATCCGACAGGTACCCCCCCTTCCACACCATCAATCCCCCCTGTTTTATTGACTCAGTATTAACTTTATGATAAAGTCTTCAGACTTGCCTTCAATAAATAAACATATCATGGAATTAATGAAAATACTTCAACATACATGTATGTCTTACTAGAAATGTGTCTTGTATGCATGCATTATGACACATACACAACTCCAACTGATACTGACCCATACAGAAGCTTCATAACTTTATACTTCACAGTTTACCATGAAACTAAACTTTTCCCTTTAAATCCTGTTACCCCCAAACCTCTCCCTCTATCTTAAAACCCTTCTAACTTCATGACCAGCTTCAGTGACACAGGTCCACTCATAGAGAACAACTATCACCAGTAACATCTAAGATGGAGATACATGCAGACATACATGTATGTATAACATTAGTCTCATCCTACAGATGACTATGGTCCAGTCATCATCATCACGGTTACGTGACAGCTAAGACAGAAAGACAAACACACGTACAAGGTTGTCCATAAGAACTGAAATAGAAAGGGATAAGAAGGGAGTCTTTGGTTCCTTCCCTAGTGGGGGTTGAGGGGCAATGCCAGAATAACCGGGGGATTATGTCATTATAAAAGGGGAACTTCCCTGGCCCCCCGGGTTTATGCACAAATCTGATGTAACGTTAGATTTACCCTTCGGATGACCAGGGTTCCGTCAACATTGTTACAGTTACGTGACAGCTAGGTCAGAGAGACAAACATGTGGAATGTTAGACTTACCCTTCGGACGACCAGGGTTCCGTCATCATTGTCACGGTTACGCGAGTTCTCACTGACTTTGTTGGCAGGGCTTTGGTTGGAGTGTGATGGTGAAATGTCTACAAATACAGACAGCTCAAAATGATACAACAGTCATAACAACAATGCAATAAATTAATAAAGAATACATATTATGATAACGTGAAAATGTGATGAGACACAGTGCAAATATGTTCTGTGATAAACTTGTAATAGAATTCAAAAAAGTCACCATCTTCAATGACTGAAATACCATGTACACATACAAACATGTATACAAACATATACAAAGATACACAGACAGACAGGCACTTATTGGTGTGGATGACAATGGAAGACAGGGTTTCTGATGTGTCATGGTTAAATATAAACACAGACAGACAGACAGACAAACACTTACCTGTGTGAATGACCATGGAAGACAGGGTTTCTAATGTGTCATGGTTAAAACCTCCAGTAGGTCTAGAAAAAAAAAAACACAAATATATAGATCTCACATCATCAATATTTGCCTAAACTATCAGAGAAAAAAAAGATCAAATAATATAATCAGAAGAATCAACTAAAAAAAATTTGATTATTTCAATTTACCATTTTGAAGTCATATCTAGAATAGACAGAGTTAATTCTTTAATCCTGAAAATCACACATAAGCTCAGATACATGTATATTTACAATATGGCAATTGCTATCACGGATTTCTCTAATCATTTAATTTTTTTCTCTTTATCTATTGAACTTTTTTTTATTTATTGATGTTTTCCCATCTCTGCTTTTATTTACTTTTCCCATTTTTGCTTTTATTTACATGACTAACTGGCAGTGTAAACATATCCAAGAAAACAAAAGCATTAGTTTGTTCAAAATTACTGCCAGAGTTATCTACCCATTAAATTGTGTAAAACACCACCACTTCATTTCATATCCAGCACAACATAAAAACCCCACAGGTCATTCAATTATTACATGAAATACATAGCTAAATAAAACATAAGTGAGATTAAAATTTGAGGTATACCGATTAAATGCAAAAGTAATTCAAACCCAGTATACTATAGAGGGTATACAGTACAGAAAGTTATTAAAGTAATAAACATGACGATTGCTTACAAATGTAAATTTAGAAAATCTGATTAGTATAAAAAATTAACAGAAAGAGATTTCATACAAAATATTACATTGAATAATTAACAACCAAGTAATAATCATCAAATCATATATATATATGGAAAGATACATTTAAAAATCTCCGATATTCATTCGATTAACAAGCAATTAATATATAATTAAAACACACTCCAGCATGGTCAATGTATGGAGGTTTCAACAGGTTCTGGGAAAATCAAAGCTGTGTGGAGAAATTTATCTAAAGCAAGGGAATATTTAAATCCAAGGGTGTCTCATTATATCTCTTAGATTATCACTCACAATACCGTACAGCAGGTAATTTTAGCAGGATGCTAATTTTGGTTTATTTTAGCGTTATGGTAGTAACCCGCTAAAATTTTAATCGTTAAAATTATCAATATTCTTCATAGTTTTCTTTTGCAACGTGTAAAAACCATTTGTCTGCTAAAATAAATTATTGGCATACCTTTGAGCAAGCATAACGCCAAATTTAACACCCGCCAAGAAAATCTGCTATACAGTATTAAATCTCTACTACCTTATTATTTTATAAATTTTAATTTTTTTTCACAGAAAAGTTATTTTAAATAGTTGATCATAGTACAAAGATAACTAGTCATGACTGCTAGATAAAAAACAAAGTGTTCTTCCAGCTCACTTTCCTTTATGACTTATTTCAATCTGTTCTTTAAAACTTTCGTTAGTTTTTCTGGCTATAAATATTCATTACTCCGAAACTACCATGTATTCAATGGGACATAAATGAAGTTGGTTGTAACTGATTATACACAGGCTTTGGGGAGGACAGCTGTATAGGTATGTAATTATATATATGTGTTTACTATATCATGTATATATACAGAACTCTGGTATATAATGCTTTCGATAAATTGTATTAAATAAAATCTTACAAACATCACATACATAGCAGTTCTTTTTCTACAACAAACAGTCAAGGTTTTACAATCTTACTAAGGCTTCAGGGAATAATTTAGTTACATTTTAAACATCTGCTTTCTAAATCTGTGAAAATACTAGAGTTACTCTGAGCACTGTGCTCAAAAAATGATACCCTCAACTCCCATATGAGTATAATAGCAAAGTTCATTTATTTCTATGGAAAACCCCAAATATCTGTCTAATCGAAATGTAAAATAGGAGGTACACGATGGCACTATGTAATAAAAATTTTATGAAAGTCTTGTTTTATTCAGTGACATAGGAGGAGTTGCAGATAAGAGATGGATTCCCCCCAAGTATTATGGATATATGTAAGAACCTACACAGGGATAGAGACACCCCAATCACTATATACCACCAGCTTTTTTTTGGTGGTGGGGGGGGGGGGGAAGCAAATTCTCATCCTCTCAAAAATATGGATCAAAAAGGTAAAAAAAAAATAAAAATAAATGTACATATATTTTTAAGGACAGATGCACTAAACAAAGTTTTCAAAAAGTTATTATCAGTTCAGTCTAAGTCATATTTTATGTATATGGACTAAAAGACGTTAAATTTTTTAAGAACTTCAATGAAAATTCTTTCTAAGTTTATCTGTTATTGTTTATTAACTTGAGAGCTTTATCTACTGATCTCCTAATATGAAAACTACTCTATAATGAAAATTAAAAAACAAAAACTAAAACCTAAAACGTACAGAGGTCTGGCCGGTTCTGAGGCAAGAAGAGTTCCGTCCCTTGTCACCTCCTCTTCCACTTCTTCCTCCTCCTCATCTGAGGAGCCCTTCTCCTCCTCAGGAAACATGTCTATCAGCTGTTTGGCATACTTATCGAGGTCCTACAATATACAATGAAAACGTACAGGGATCGGTCTCAAAAAACCAACAAACAATATACATTTGTGAACAGGCCATAAAATAAGGACCCTTGGAATTCCAGAGGTGAGATCAGGTGCCTAGGGGGAACATACATTCCCTGTCAACCGGTCATACCTGCCATACACCCTATATATTGATCAGGTAGATGGAATAATGTGTAGTCAAATTTAATTAAAAAACAATAACCTAAAAATTGGTATGAAGTATGTCAGTCAAAATACAACCCACTGATAGTTTGTCTTTGCAAATAAGGTCATTATAGCAACCATAAAATTACCAAAATGCTGACTTAAAATGAGGTTGTTGAAATCCCTGTAACATCATCTTATTTGTCAGTAGCCTGTCTTGGTTTAAAATTGATTGTACTCAGATCATGCTCTAAAGTATCGAGTAAATTGGGAGACATTAACATCATAAACAGGTGAACATATACATATAACAAATTATTCTTTGGAATCAGGAATCATGATTTGTAATACAAAAGCACCAGGGCATATCCTATGAGACCCATATGGAGATAAGCTTTTGTAAAATCAATGAAGACATACCTCTGGTTTTTGGGCTTTACTTGAGGGTCTTTGCTCTGAAAGAGAAAAAACAAAATACTGATATTACATAAGAATCATTATTACACTTCTATAAAAGAGAGGTTCTTATAAGAGCAGCACAGGAAAAGATATATTTTAAAATGTTTAGAGTGATTTGTCCACCCATGAATGTCTAGATATATTTCTCACTCTGCTCCTCCATTTCTAAAATATAAATCCTCTGTAAACATTGCTGCTTTTAAAGACATGTAGCAAACCAAAATCTCAGTAAAATATAAATGTAAAAATTTCTTTTGATCAGACTTTTATTCCTGAATCTCTTGTTGCTGTCAGTATTAATTGGTAAGCTTCCTGCCATAAGTGGCCCTGTTATTTTCCCCCCATGCTGCTTATGAATGAGTCTGACAAGCTGAAGGGTAACACAAAATGGCTCTACTCAAAGGACACCACAAACTTACCTTCCTCTTACAGGGAAAAACAAAACTAACTAAAAGCATGCACGATCACATCAATATTTCAAGAAACTCATACTTAACTATTACAGACTTTAAACTGAAATCTTTATGCATCAACAATACTCATACATCTTATCTTATTGTGTTATTTTACATTCAGTGAAACCAAACCCAGAACCTTATCTGATATAACGATGTACCGGTACTGAGTGGTGAATTAACAGTGCTATATGTTTCAATTTAAAAGATACTTATAAATCTGATAGACAAATATAAAATTTTAGATACAGTATATATTACATGTTAAGACATGTGCTTTGTGCTGTGGTGGGGAAATGAAAGGGGTGGGGGAGAAAGAGGGAGGTTGAAAATCTTTCACTCTGGGATAAAGCACTTTGTAGGAGAAAACTTCATTAGCTACAGTTTCTCTACAAGGAAAGTTTTACAAAAGAAAAACATACCATCAAATTTTCTTTATGCATTATAAACAAATTGAATAGTGTAATTTATTTCTTTAAAAAAAGTTATTTGTTCTGTATTTCATGTCTAGAAATCCGCTGATCTTCTCTTGCCACCTTTTGTAAAACTTTCTAATTTTAATAATGGGATTTTTTTGTTGTTGCTTCTAAAACCAACAAAACACTAGGAACAATCCAATTTTTAAAAAAACAAGATTTTTCACCTGGTACAAGTAAATTGTACAATGCCAATTTTTATACAAAATTTTTTTAAAAAATTTTGTCGTCTTTACTTTATAGATAAAATCCAATTGTCATGAAAAGTTCCTGGTATAAAAAGCAGGTAAAGTTGGGCGGGGGAGGGGGTGTGTTGCGTGGGAAAAGTCCAGAGTAACTATGACAATGGAGACTGAGGATCGCAACAGCTGAACAATTGAATTGAGTATCATTTATTTATTTATGTTCAATTTGTCATAATTTTATTACCTTCAGTTTTATAGACTGCACTAATAGACATGATGACTACAGTTAAACTTCGTTATCTCGAAGTTGACGGGACCGTTGATGAACTTTGAGATATCCAGGGGTTCGACATATCGAGGGTTATAATTTTAATGTAATTCAAATAAACTTAGTGCAGTGAATATGCACTTAACAGCAAAAACATATAAAATTTCTTCTTGTTTGAAATTATGTATACGATTACTTTAATATACATGTAGTTAGCATTAAAAAGATTTTTACATTCTCTTTATAATTCACAAAATAAAAACTTTGTATAATATGCACAGAAGTATAATCCATCTTCCAACCCGGCAAGTCAACCGCTAGCATCGTTTCCCATGTATACATAACAGGATATCATCTACGCATTGTAAATCTAAAACCGGTTGCTGTCAGAATAACGCAAACAAAATATACAAAAAAAATTATTGGAGAAACATGTTCAAACATGTATAATCAGTTAAAAGAAAATATTTTACCAATAATAATATCAAATGCAAAAGAAGAAACACGCACTTTTGTCTAACAACAGAACAACAATGAATCACAGGGCACTGTAGCACAAGTTTTCACTGCGACACACGCTAACATAATGGTGTGTACTGACGATATAGGAAAAATAAATTCTAATTGCATTAAATTACAGAATTTTGTTTCACTTTAATGTTTATAATTTTCGCTTTCATATGTATAAACTATGCAAGCGCGCAGTATTGAACATATCTCTAAATACCGATTATCAGGACAAACGTACCCCAGCCACAAAACAATCAATGTGTCATCCAACCGTATGGATAAGACTAATACATACAACTTTTGGCTTGCATAATTAAAATCAATGTAAGCCATACATACACCTTGTATAATTATCGCGCTATTATCTGTTGATCACAGGAACACAGGTAACCCGTGCGTGACAGACAGGTGGCTGTTATCAATAGAGCGTTCAGTTTACATAACGGACTTGATCATCAGAGCAGAAAATCACCCTAACTTCGAGATAACGCATGTGATTTTAATGAATGGGTACACAGTTTTAGTTCGAGATAACCGGGGTATTCGACATTACCGTGTTCGACATAGAGGAGTTTATTTTAATCATTTATAAAGCAAATTTTGTCGGGACCGCGGCCGTACTTCGACATATCCGTGGTATTCGAGATATCCGTGTTCGAGATATCGAAGTTCAGCTGTATTTTGCATAAAGCACATGAAAGGAGGCTGCAGTTGCAGAAAAAAAATTGCAGGTAAAAGAAAGAAATGGTTCATGAATTAATGAGAAACTGACTAAATGCTTACATTGTATATTGTTCACTTTAAGATATGGAGTTCTAAGAAAATGGGCATTACTAATTTATTTTCTTAACCACCCTAAATTAAACTTTTAAAAGAAGACTGATATTATAGATCAAAAAACTTTGTAAAGACAAAGAAAAAGTAAATGATCTGAGGCAGCAGAATTCTAAACCACCATATCTGGGTTATCTTAGAACACCGAAAAGCAAATAAAGAAGCCTGTCATGCAAGTTAACGCTGGACTCTCCCCATCTCTGGGTTCAATTCAAATTCTTGCTCATGTGATAAAAGCCCTGAGTAAATAGCAAAAGAACATTGTCTGTGTGACCTGAGTTTTCATCCTCTGACCCGGACTCACTATTGTCCTCGGCCTCCGGGTCTCGGTTCACGTCCTCGGATTCTTCCTCCACTGGAAACACAATGCATCAAAACCATGCAATTTCACAACCAAAATTTACCATGCATGACTATAAATACCTGTTGTATGAAGATATCAAAGAGCTAAATTGTCCCTACTTTATTGTTTTTATAACACTTTAAATAACATTTATAATCTTTGGGGTGAAATATCAGAAAACTAACAAAATAGTCTTGAAATGAAGAGAATGTATTCTGAGTTAATTTCTTTGCTTCTCTACACTAATTCAACAGGTGTATGAATTCATCCTCATTTTTAAAATATACAAGTAGTAGTGTTATATCTCATATTGACCTATGGTTTGCTCTTATACTGACCTAGGCTGTAGTGGTCTCATTTCATATTGACTTATGGGCTGTAGGGTCTGATATTATACTAACCACTTGACTGAAGTGGTCTATATATGGACTTATGGGCTGTGGTGGTCTGGTGTTATACTGACCTATGGGCTGTGGTGGTCTAGTGTTATACTGACCTATGGGCTGTGGTGGTCCGGTGTTATACTGATCTATGGGCTGTGGTGATCTGGTGTTATACTGACCTATAGGCTGTGGTGGTCCGGTGTTATACTGATCTATGGGCTGTGGTGATTTGGTGTTATACTGACCTATAGGCTGTGGTGGTCCAGTGTTATACTGACCTATGGGCTGTGGTAGTCTGGTGTTATACTGACCTATAGGCTGTGGTGGTCCGGTGTTATACTGACCTATGGGCAGTGGTAGTCTGGTGTTATACTGATCTATGGGCTGTGGTGGTCTGGTGTTATACTGACCTATGGGCTGTGGTAGTCTGGTGTTATACTGACCTATAGGCTGTGGTGGTCCGGTGTTATACTGACTTATGGGCTGTGGTAGTCTGGTGTTATACTGATCTATGGGCTGTGGTGGTCTGGTGTTATACTGATCTATGGGCTGTGGTGGTCTGGTGTTATACTGATCTATGGGCTGTGGTGGTCTGGTGTTATACTGACTTATGGGCTGTGGTGGTCTGGTGTTATACTGACCTAGAGGCTGTGGTGGTCCGGTGTTATACTGACCTATGGGCTGTGGTAGTCTGGTGTTATACTGATCTATGGGCTGTGGTGGTCTGGTGTTATACTTACCTATGGGCTGTGGTGGTCTGGTGTTATACTGACCTATGGGCTGTGGTGGTCTAGTGTTATACTGACCTACGGGCTGTGGTGGTTTGGTGTTATACTGACTTATGGGCTGTGGTGGTCTGGTGTTATACTGACCTATGGGTTGTGGTGGTCTGGTTTAATACTGACCTATGGGCTGTGGTAGTCTGGTGTAATACTGACCTATGGGCTATGGTAGTCTGGTGTTACACTGACCTATGGGCTGTGGCAATCTGGTATTATACTGACCTATGGGCTGTGGTGGTCTGGTGTTATACTTACCTATGGGCAGTGGTGGTCTGGTGGTATACTGACATATGGGCTGTAGTGCTATGGTTTAATACTGACCTATGGGCTGTAGTGGTATGGTTTAATACTGACATATGGGCTGCGGTGGTCTGGTGTTATACTGACCTATGGGCTGTGGTGGTCTGGTGTTTTATTGACATGGGCTGTGGTGGTCTGGTTTAATACTGACCTATGGGCTGTGGTGGTCTGGTGTAATACTGACCTATGGGCAGTGGTGGTCTGGTGCTATACTGACCTATGGGCTGAGGTGGTCTGGTGTTTTATTGACATATGGGCTGTGGTGGTCTGGTGTTTTATTGACATATGGGCTGTGGTGGTCTGGTGTTTTATTGACATATGGGCTGTGGTGGTCTGGTGTCATATTGTTCCATGGGCTGTGGTGGTCTGATTTTATACTGACTTAGTCTGGTTTTATACTGACCTATGGACTGTGGTGGTCTGGATATCTGCTGCTGTCTCCCTGGACCTTGTGGAGGTTGGTAGGGACCAGGCCATCCCTGTTTAGAACTTGATGGCCTTTGACCCTGTCGACCTTGCTGCTGGACGGGTACGGGGCGGGAGTTCTGGGGGTGACCTTCACGCTGTTGAATCAACTGAAAGTTTCTTTTCAGTGTGGATTCCCCTGGGATCTGGAGGATGGAGCTAAAAGAAACAGTCAGACCTTACATATACTGTATACAGGGTTATTTTCGCCCCGTGTTATTTTCGCCCTTTCACACTTGCAAACAAGTTTGCCCCATTTTTAATTTGCCCAGTCATCGTTTTGTTTAAGAAATAATACTGTATTCCTTTAATTTGCCCCGTTTTAAATTCGCCCAAATGAGGGTAGGGCGAAAGGGGCGAAAATAAAACGGGGGCGAAAATTTCCCTGTATACAGTAGTTACAGCTCTTTTTTATATGTAAGATTTAGTTTTAAAAAATCTTAAAAAATGATGTTTCTTTTTCAGAGATCTTGATTTCAATGTATAGGGGACAGACTTTCATAAATAAGGATTTCAAAAGCATATGCACTTTATTCATTTGTGTTCCAAAGAGAAATCTTAAAAAGCTTTTTTTAAAAAAAAGAAAAGAAAATAAAGAAACAGCATAACAGAGAGATTGTACTTAGGATCAATTGATTTAATTATTCTGTAAAAAGAAAGTCATATAAAATGTTTGAACTCAAAAGTTGTTACAATGGAAATTAAGAGAGATAATATCTGATTCTTAAAATTTATAATCTGGCAGTGTCTGCCAAAGTGGAAAATGTTCATAAAAACATAGTGTGAATAAAATTTACAAAATATCTGAAATCAAGAGGTTAACCAGGATCAGAGATTGCCAACAAGCTCTCCTGGAATATACATTCTTAAGCTAGCCATTTTATAAAGATATTGCATGCACTTGATCATACAGGTTTGTCAGTGAGGTATATTCATACATAATTATCACTGTGAAAGTGAAAACATATGGTTTAATCTCTCATCAGCTTGTCACTGAAAAATTTAATATCTTTAAAATAAAAAAGAAGTTAAGATTCATTGTCCTTCTGTTCACTTATATAAAATTTCGCTTAATTGATAATAATTTTCCAAAAGAAATCTACATAAAATTTGTAATGCAAACAATTTCCACATACCTCGTGGTGCAAAAGTTGACATAAATTGACTTTAAAATTGAAAATATTTTAAAGGGATTTTTCAATCAAGTAAGAGTTATCTCAGACTCTTACTAGAGGGTTGATGAACCTTAAGACACATGCAAGTTAACATGCAAGATGTGTACACCTGGCCAGGTTTCTAGGTTTGACATCAGGTCATAATCTGTAGCCTCAATGCATTATCATACATGTATGTTTTGTTTAAATTATAAAATTAGTAATACAGATACTGGGACTTCGACATTATGAGAACAAACATAAAATTGGTTTTGATGTGCTTTACAGATTATTTAATAAGTAATTAAAATGATCAAAAGTTGCTTCATTCTGCCTCTTCTTACTTACATTCAAAGAAAAAAATTAACACTATCTCCTGAAAACCCTACAGATTTGGAAAATTCTTTTTGAATAAACACAAAGTAATTCTATGATCTTATAGCCTACAATTCTTTGATCTTATTCTTATAACCTACAATTCTGCAGTCTTACAACCCTGAAACCTGGTCAGATATTCACACAGAGAAGGAATAAGAACAGGTAATGTTACACTGGTCTGTTAGGATCCGGCTTGCTATCTCTACGTCTCGCCGTGCTGGGAAAGGGAAGGTCAAAAGTTATAAATAACATACATAAAACAGCTATACAGATACACTGTGCAAACACTATCAGTTTGGGGTTTCTTTTGGTACTTAGTATCTATTGTGGGGTAGAAATGTCCAATAGTCTGTACATTCATTCCCAGTGCAGCTATATGTTTGAATTTTACTAAAGAGTGGGGTGAAATTGCTAAGCTGATTCAAGGATATAAGAGACATATAAAGAGTCCCAAAAACACGTACTTTTTAGGTCACAATGTACCCTCTCATAAGAAGACTTACAGTCTATACCAAATACTCCTCACAAATGTATTCCAGAAGTTTTAATTGTTTATGAGCCATTAGGATCAGTCAGACTTATTTAAACATATTACTCCCCCCACTCCGAGTGGTTTGTTTCATGATAAATGAGAAATTTAGGTGAAGGTCATTTATTATTACAATGCACGTCTCCCCAAATTCGAGGGACAGTTTGGAAAATGGTTACCTACTCCTCTGATATTAAATCATGTCTGGGTAATTACTATAATTCTCTGAATGGAATAGATTCTAACTTTAGTATACTATTGCCCTTGAATTAGACATGTGTCAAGAAGTTGAATGAACAGACCAGACTTAATGCCTATTTTATGTAGTATTTCTTCCATATTCTGTGAAAAACACAATGTTTTACATTCACAACATATAATCATGGTACCACATTAATCTCCATGCATTCTTAATTAACTACTGAAGTTCTTCAACAAATTCATATAAAATCAAGTCAAATATACAGCAAATAATGGGTGAGCATCACCTTTTTTTTTTTTTTACTAGTAAACAAATGAAACAAATGCACACTTCATACAGCAAAAAAATTTAAACTATATAAATTTTCCTTACGATACATTCAAACCTACATGTACATGTATATATAAGCCACACCCCAACCAATAAGATCTTGCTTGCCTACATTCAGCAACAACTCCCACACAAGTACAACCCATGGCCACAGTAACCCTCCCTGATCATCCCCCCCTTGTTTACCTTGGTTCACCGGCCATGTTTGTTTCCTCCTCCTCCTCCACATCACTGGGTACCCACTCCGTCATGTTGTCCTCGTCATCTGAAATCAAGTACACCTCAAAATAAAATCAAGTACACCTCAAATTAAAATCAAGTTAACCTCAAATTAAAATCAAGTACACCTCAATTTAAAATTCTAGTAAAATCAAGTAAACCTGAATTTTAAATTACACCTCAACTTCAACTTTTGGAAAGATCATGAACACCTAATCAATTTCTAGTAAAATCAATTTAATTTTCTCAAAAAATCCAGTTCACCTCCACTTCAACTTCCTTAGTAAAATCTAGTACATCTCAATTTCATTTCAACTTTGGTATTTCAATCTTCTGAAGTTAATTCAAAAGCAGTTCAACTTTATTTCAAAGCAGAATTTATACTGCAATAAAAATTCAAGGCATTTTTAATTTCAATGTTGTTGTAAACATTTACAGTATTATGTGATTTAGAGCATATATGTCTTTGGATATTTGAACATTGCATAAATTTTGAACAAGCCGTAAATCAGTTCAACTTTATTACAGAACCACTTCTCAAAGATCTTTATATAAACAAAATGTTTCTTAGTTTAGTCACACTTATTACTTTTTTTGTGGTGTTTTTTAATTAGTGAAACTAACTGGGTGCTATTTGTATGGTGGTTCTCATTTGGGTCTTTTTTAGTGGTGTTATTAATATTGTGGTACTAATTTGGGTCTCTTTGAGTGGTGCTATTTATATGGTAGTTACTGACCCGGTCTCTTTTTGCGGTGCCTGTCTATGTGGTCCTTTAGCTGAATTCGGACCTGTCGCTCCGTGGGTTGGTCCTTTATGAATGGATGTTTAAGTAATGTTTCTGTATTTGGCCGATGCATGTAATCCTTCAGTAAACAAGTCTCAACAAAATTTGAGAATCTTGAGGACCTTAAAAGAAAAAAAAAACAGGTCTGTGATGTTAAACAGGTGGACCATGAAAATCTTAAAGGAGAAAAGATATATGTGCAAACAAATAAAATCTAACCATTATCAGTAAGACACTCAGCTATTTGTCACATAATTCTGGGCTGTGTTTAAGATTTTAGCTGCTATGTAGCTCTAATTAAAGCTACTATTTTGAACAGTAAGTCTAGCCATAACAAGTATTAATTCATACTTTTTTAATAGATATTTTATCTAGCCTATGAGCAAGGCTACCTGCGATCTTGAACATTATCATAGCCCATTGCTTTTCTTAATTTCAATCCTGGCTGTTACATACCATTTGTTTGATTTTAATCTCGGTGGAGCGTTCCTGGGAATGAGGAAGAGAGCCCTCATGGGATGCATATCACACAGCGCTGAAAACAGAAAATATTGGAAAACCTAATTCTGATTTATCTGTACAAAATCAAATCTTAATACATGTGTAACAAAAGTCACTTGAAAGTATATGTTAGCACATGGCAACAAAAGGATAATTAAATGACCATACATTTTAAAGTGTTATCTTATGTGCCTCTCAATCAAATAAATCATCTTAATGCTTTTAATTCCAGAATACTTACGTGGTTTTCCCTCTGCCATCTCTATTGCTGTTATACCTAGAGACCAAAGGTCACTCTGAAACGATAAATAAAACAGAGTTATCTCCCTTTTTGCATATTTAGGAAAACTCCATTCTTGCATCTAGTTGCAAGAAACTGAAACTGTGAAAATCATGCATGAAAAACACACAGGGGAAAATAATTTAAATTCTACAAGACATTTCTATATTTCAGTGACTGATGTTTCCATCTCCCAAACTACAATTAAATTCAGCCCCAGCACTTTTATTCTGTGTACACTCACCCTGTTGTCATACGTAGCATCTGGGTTCTCATCACAAGCAATCACCTCAGGGGCCATCCTATCATAATAAAAGAATTTAAAGTTCTCAGACCAAGCAGATTATATTTACAGATGCAAAATTCACTAACAAGTAAATTAACACAAATGACATCAGATTGCCTTGGTACGTAAATTTCATCAATTAATCCAAAATCAATAAAAAATTAAGATTGAAGAACACATCAAACTGTAAAATCACTGAGACTTACCAGTAGGGTGTCCCTATAAAGGTGTTCCTTCTGCCAATGGTTTTATCTAACTGGGCACTGACTCCAAAATCAACTAAAAACAGATCAGAATATCTATAAACATTTACATATCTGTCTGGATGTTTTTGTAGGTATTCATTTACCAAATATCTAATAAATAGAGCAAATATGCTTCTCACTGACCTAGTTTGACTTCAGCATTGTCAGTCAGTAAAACGTTTTGTCCTTTGATGTCTCTGTGTATTACTTTATTGCTGTGTAAATGTGCAAGACCCTGGAAGAAGTACACAAACTTGAGCACTAATCAGCATAATCAGAAATGGAGAAATTCTAAATTTAGTTCTTTAATTAACAGTAATAAACCGTCTAAGGCCTACCTAATCAGTTTGATTACAAAATTTACTCTAAAATTACTGTGCAATATGCATGAAACTAAGAAAGAAAATCTAAACAAAACATTGCAATCTGTTTTTGAACATGTTCAACAACTTTTTTCCCTTGATCATAAGCAGATTAAGGCTGGTAGATGAAACACTGTTGTAGTAAAGAAAGGGATCAACAGTCTCAAATGCAAGTATAAAGGTTTTTCAAACCTTCCATTAACATTACACAAAGCTTATACTCTGACAAACAAGAAGTCTTACCCGTAACATCTCTCTGCCAATATACGCAATCCATTCTTCCTTTAAACTGCTTCCTTTTGTGGCTAAAATATAAAAGTTTAACATTTTAATACTAAAATTGCTGAACAATAACTTGTGAATGCAGAGAAGTTTTTAAGTTTCCATTCTTGTTTTCCTAATGTAAGACATTGCACATCATGCATATTTTATCTATGCATTATGCATACATGTATATATTTTACCTCTCCATTTTTAAATAATTTTTTGACCTTTGACCCTTACCTTTGACCAGATCTGTCACTGAACCCGCTCCACAGAACTCCATAACCAGCTACAACAAAATATACAAAATTAAATTTAAGAAAGGTGTTGTTACTTCTGCAGACCTATACACACATGTAATGTATTATTATCATACTTGTTCTTGATTCATTTCTTGAGACAAATCTAGAACTTTCAAACAAGAAAATTATTGAGCAGTTGCATGGTTATTTACTAAGATGTTCACTTAATGCATTTTAAAATTATTTCATCATATTTGTCAATAATTGTCTTTCTGAGACTGATCAAAATAATCAGTTTTAAAATCAAATTCCAAAAATTTACCAACACTTAAATTCTACATTAAATTCAGATTAAATTCCTTGCCCATAATTGATCATCTTTTCCTGGAGGACTTTTCTTGATAAATGCTCCATAATACGTGGCAATGTTTCTGTGGTTAGAAAACTGCAACATAAAAATATTATAGAAATCACATGTCTGTTAAAATTGAGAATGGAGGGTGGGCACTTGTAATGTTTCATAATAAACATGTAATTAGTGTTTTCCCTTTATTTCAAAGTAAAGGGTTAGAGATCAATTGTAACAGGCTTTGGGATGAGGTTTATGACAAATCTCTGTGGACCTTACAAGTAATACAACAATTAAATTTTGATGTTTCTATTTCAAAGCGGCATTTTTAACAATTGAAGCGGTTAATTTGGCCGGTAGCCATTTCTTTGGGAAAACACTGTGTAATGTACACATTTTTTTCAACACATTGATTTGTCACATGTTACATTATTGTACCCACTAACCTTCTTGAGGACATTTATTTCTAGTTTAATTTCCTCTTCTTCATCCTTCAAAATAAAATTCAACGAAAAAATAAATCAAGCACTTAATATCAATACAATCAAGAAAAAATAATGTTTACTCTCGAGGATACTGTCCTTGTTTACACCTTTAACAAAAGACTCCTCACCTCGGTGACATTCATCACTTTAATGGCTGCCAGCTGTCCCGTCTTTGTGTGCCTCCCCTAAAAAAGAAAAAAAAAGCTACATTTAATGGAAGCATTGATCATGTTCCCCACATGTATTTCTGAAGTAGAGTAAAATAAGGCTTCATTATTATCCATAAAGTTAACAATATATCTTAAAGCCATGGGGAGTGAATTCACTTTGCTGTAAATGTCAATTCATTATAGGCATCTTTGCTATATGTATATGCTTGTTTTATTGTATTTTACTGTAGGTTACACATGTTCTTCTGAACATGTAAAACACTTCATCATATGAGGAAAACTTGCTGACTGTAAACATGGTAAAATGTATGTTTACAGTTCATCTTCCACAGATATGCCTTGCCATAAATTAAAAATTTGGCTTTTTAAATATCCAAACCATCGGTGGACTCCATACCTTGTATACTTGGCCATAAGTTCCATTTCCAACAACTTCAATCAGATCAAATATTCCTGCTGGGTCCTGCAAAGTATGAAGAAAAACATAAAGTTTCTGCTTCTTCTGGAAGTTGGGGTACCCCACTGGTTCATTTCTATAGTATTCTTACAAAAAATGATATATAAAGATATTGAAATGGGTAGGAATAATCCCCTGGGATTAAATGATAATGCAGAACATAAAATTTGCCTTATGTAAGAGGATCAATGTTTTTTATAGAGTCTGACAGATATTCTTCTTTGTTCACTGTTATTATGTTGTTACTTAATCAGCTGATTTGATAGGGGAATAGAAAACAATCCCGTTCTTTGTAAAATGATTGTAAATATATATTCCGCGAGTGTAAAATATGTATTATTCTAATTGAATTTATAATCCCTTTCTTACCCTCAAACTCGACAAGTCTATGTCGTCCAAACTAACGTTAGTGGAAGCCATCTTGGATTTGATTCATTGAAAAACTTCACTTCCTCTTCAACTTTGCGCCCACGAGAACCACACCACGGGTCAATACCGATTTTTTAACAATAAATAATCGTCGTTTGGAGACTGTTTTCTGTTTTAAATTGAGAGATCATCATGCAAATGGCTGCATGCATCAGAAAAAGTTTCCAAACTTGGAACTGTTCCGCTATATTTACACATGCGAGTGACAGATCAGTGCATTGTGGGATATCAGTCTAAGGGCGATAACTCTCACACAATGACATCATCCGGAACCAGGTGCGGTGCATGACGCACAATGGTATTTTATTTTGTTGTTGTTGAAAAAGAAAGAGGATATGTTTTTTTTTAAACTTCACTTGGTGAAGATACCAGGTATTTTATGAACTGACCATGTTCCCCTTGAGAGACAAAATAGTTGTCTAATCTGAAAAAAAACAATACCTAAAAAATCACTCACTTTAAAGAATAATATTCTATTTCTGTAAATCATTGCCCATTAAAAAAAAAAAAAAAGAGTCGTATACTTTTAAAAAATTATGAAATTAAAGTAGGTTGACATATTTCGAAAATAATTTTTTTTTCTCTTGCATTGTTTCTTAGTACAACCCCCTTCCTTTCTTATTTTTAAAGGGGAAAACACAGTTTATAATTATGAGTAATTATTTACAACATCAAAAACTAAAAAAAAATAGTTTTTTTTAAAGAAAAATACCAGGCCTATATTTTCACAATCTTGGATTATGTTTAACATTATGTGTTTCCGAATCTTGTTAAAAATGACAGGTGTTATATACATATCGAGATTATTGAATTATTCATAAATATAACATTTTAAACTATTTAAACAGGCTCAAACAACAACCCAGATCATTACCTTCTGTTGTCTTGGAAAGTCTATTTAAAACAATACAAGCAATAGGCAGTCTTGCATTTTGGATTTTTTTTTTTTTTTTTTTTTTTTTTGATGAAGATAAAGACATTTGACCAATTTTGACCTTCGCTAGCTAATGTAATGGTTTTTGGTCCACTTTGCTCCTCATATATGGGGACACTCTCTACCATCGGCTCATACATTCACCTCTGTCATTGGCTCGCGTATATCACAGTGATAAGCACGAGAAATAGTGCGTTTCTTTTAATTTATTTTAATTAAATGTCTGGGGGTAATGATAGTCCTTAAAGATAGATATTTACTAAATAGATATAAAACTATAAGTTTAATTTGAAATAATACTTGAAATGTTATGTTTTTAACGTTATGTCAAAAATCTTGACGGCTGCGAAGATTTTAGAATTCCTGATGGATGTCCTTCAGTTTCAGAAATGGCGTTCCTCCACGTTCAGTAATGTGTCCTCAAATCATAACGTTACATACATCAAAAGACTGGCGTGTCATAGCGGGCGCTGGGAGGATGTATATTGAATGAATCAAAAGGACTGGAAACAGGTTCTTTCAACTTCCTGGTTCCTCTTCTTAAATACAACAATATGTCATGCAATTAATATAATACATAGAAATATTTTAACAAGTGATATAAGTGAAAATTCTGTTCAATAACATAGCAAATTAAAATCTACACCTTTCATCAATAAATTCATGGACAGCAGCAAAAATTTTGTTATTAGTTTTTAAAGGCAATTGTGTCAACAATATAGAATCCGGATAGGGCCACGTAGTTCACTATCGCACCATCGAGCATGACTAAAGGGTTGATGGCGCGATAATGCGATGGCGCGATAACGATGAAGCGATGGCGCGATGACGAGGACGCGACGGTGCGATAGCGCGATAACGATGATGCGATAGCGCGACAATGCGATGACGATGGTGCGATAGCATGATGGAGCGATAGTGAACATCACTTCATCGTCATCGTATCATTGCGCCATCATCATCGCACCACCATGTCCTCGCACCATCGCTTCATCGTGCTACCGCCTCATCTTCATCGTCATAGCCCTTTCCGGATTTCATACATAACATTTTTAGTTCGACATTTTCGGTTGGGTGAACTTCTACAGCTATTAGCGACTATGGATAATGAAATAACTAATACAAATAAAATTAATATCAACCAAATTGGCTACTGGATACATTAGATACTGCATTTTTTTTAATGGTTCAAAACAGAAAGTATTCCTTTAAAAGTATCATGTTTATAATATATTTTAGCAAAAACCGTATGATAATGTTCATAGTACTAATCATATATGTTCTGCATATGAACCACAGTATTTCTGATTAATGACCCTCTTGCCAGTGGAAGGAAGTCTCAGACTGGTAAATAAACACGAATCTAGGACAAATAAAACATTTGACCTGGTGTAAACAGAAGAGGATCGTAAAACGTAATCTCCCTGATCTGCCTCTTGCATAAATTTCATTTGAAATGGTGATCGAATTAAGGTTGAAAATCTCCCTCGAAACATGGCTCCCTGATTGTTTATAAGATTTTATTTCTTACCTTTAGTATTTTTATGTATCATAGAGGGACAACCTCTAAAACTTAACAAAAAACATATCGAAATGAAGGTATGCTATGTAAGAAATTCATGCATTTTTGATAAATTAGTAAGTCTGATAAAATTATCAGAAGAAAGGGGGAGGAGGGGGCAGCATTCATTCGTCAGGAATGCCTTCATAAACTTTGGAACTTGTTTTGCAATGGAGGCAAATGCGACAAGTTTGTCTTAATTGCCATCTGCAGTGGCTGCTATAGATTGATTTTATTTTGAAATTTATAAACCCAGAATAGAGCCCTAAGGACTGTATTGTTCTGGTTTTACACATTATTACACTATTTACGCAAAGATTATCGGGGATAGCACATTAGGTGAAATATATACTATAGTATTCCCAGGGCATGCCCATTGTAATTGATATTTCTGGAGGAGAACTATCTTCTCCTGATGACTATATTAATATGCATACATTCACAATGTTTCAATTTATGCTTGCTAAATTTGAAGATTCCACAAATCACCTGAAATAAAATATATAAAAAAAACGTGTTAGGAGTGAAAAGGTTTGCTTGTTTTTGCATGGTTGATCTTAAATTAGGTCGTTATCCGATACTTATATACATATGAAAGTAAAAATAGTGAAATTGGTGTAAAGTTCTTCCTACAAATAACTGTATTCTTGTATCTTATTTTGTATGTCTTTTTTTATGATGCTGAAATTGAATAACATTCTAAATTAATCGAGCAAGTGATGTTAGGAATTAAGTACAGTTCTTTGTAAAAATCATGCAAAATAGGCATGTAGGTGATATATGAGGGTTCTCAGAATTTGATGATTTTTCACACATAGTTTCCTTTTGCCCTATAAACCATGTATGCAAAAGGAAAAATGTTCTGATTCACGATTACAATGGAAACATGGGTAAAGAAATTTCCCTAGCAACCAGCCGATTTTCAGCTTCAATGGACTAAAAAATCTCTTATCTTTCAGGCTCAAATTAAATGTAAATACTAAAAGAATTTCTTTTTCATTGCTGTTATTCTCAAGATAATGATCTTAACAGTTTTCACAATCAAAAATATAGAATAAGATTTAAAGATATATCTGTGATAGATGTGGGAATATATGCATGTTTTTCATTTTTTGCTGACTCAGCATTTTCCTTGATTTTGGAATTATTCAATGCCTAATTTTGGAATTATTTGGAAAATCATATTTATTTGAAATATTTGAAAACTTTAATCCCATATTATTTATTTAACTTACATTTAAAAATGTTCTTCAAGTCTTTGATTGTGTAATAATTATAACTAAATTCATTGTTCTATAATTATTTTGAGATGCAGAAAAGAAGATATTTTCATACGCCGGCATTCCGCCAAAAATATAGTCCGTGCTAGATTTCAAACTCAGTTTACCATTTCTATTTATAGTTGTACAATTGTGATGAGGAAAGAAAAATATCATCTTTTAAATCTCTTACATCTAAATATATAAAACATATAAGCAAATATACTTTGAATATTTCATCTAGTCAGAAACCAGACAAGAATCCCTCCTTAAGAACAATGATGTCATAAAGATTTATTGTTTTTCCGCTCCATCGGACTTTGGAGTGTCAAATAATCGGGGTTTGGTGCAGACCGTCGGACGTTGGAGTCCCATAGCACTTTGGAGTCCCACATACATATTTTACTTCCAGGTCAATATCACTATTCAGCTACATGAAATATTTTTTTTCTTAAATGAGATGATTTCTCTGGTATATGTATCTGTAAACACATAATGTACTGTCAGAATCCGATGTTCCAGCCCAGAGAAGGTGACTTCTGTTGTCATAGCCCAAAGCCTGAGTTGCATTTATCCTGCATTGTATGTTGAACAACATCATTAGAAAGTTACCCTCTTTGTCAATCATCTGAACTGTGTTCCTTATAGCATCAGACACCAGAATGTGTGATAGCCCATCCACACAGATTCCTTGAGGTGATAGTTGTGATTTTGGTGTTGGTCCTGTGTAGTAGAAGCGATGTCTCCCCCCACGATCTGTCACTACTACAGCATAGTGGTATAAATCTAACACTATTATATCTCCATTAAGGTTCTCTGTGATATATTTGGGAAATTTAAATAGTTTATGACCCGTGTTATCGTGATGTATGGCCTGGATTTGTTGTCCTGTGCTGTTATACCGCATCACTTTGGCATCCGTATAAGTAGGGTTATCTCTTTCATATCTCCTCATCCCAATCAAGAGATCTGCATTGAAGGGAGAGCAGTAGACACACCTTGCTCCCCATGGTTCTGTGCTCTTCACAAGTGTATTTAGTGTTTTGTTGTCTGTAGATAATTTGTTGATGTTATAATACTTGTATATATAAATTAGATTCCCCTCAGGAGTCACAGAGTGTCCTCCAGTACGACCAACTGTATCTGTCAAAATGTGCATACGGGTACCTTTTCTGTTTTTTAATATTATCTGTCCATTTCGATCACTAATCCATACCATGTCATTTGTCACACAGGAAATGTGAAAAACCTCTCCTACACCTTCTACTATTAAATATTTCTGAAAAACACCGGGTGATAACTTCATTGTCAATAGGTGCTCATTTCGTACTTTTCTTTTTCCTGTGGCTATGGACTGGATCTCTACTAGTAACTTCATTTCATCTACCATGTTGATTTCACTATTCACTGAGAAGGAAAAATATCAGAAATGTTCTTAACCCTCGGGATCGGGGTTTTCTTTAGATATAAAAGGAGTTGTAC